TCCACCAGCACCAGGCGGTTCTCCTCCAGCAGCTCGGCGAACAGCAGCGGCTGTGGGTACAGGAGGGGGGGTCAGGGGGCGGTCAGGGCACCCCCAGCCCCGACACAGCCCCCCCGTGCCCCGGGGTTAGGGCTGAGCCCACCTGGAACTTCTTGCAGATCTTGAAGGCGTGCAGCTGCCGCTGCCGGGCGTGCTCCGGGAGTTGCTTCAGGGTGCTCTGGTTCAGCAGGGGGGTGCTGGCATCGGGCAGGGGCTGGGGGGGCACAGCATCAGCTGCCCGAGCCCCTCAGGGCCCCCCCGGTGTCCCCCTGCCCTCCCCAGCACCTTCCCGTGCCCTCCCCTTGCTCCACCGGCACAGCGCAGCGTGAGCAGCCCCCCTGGAGCCCCCCCAGCCCCGCTCACCAGGGATTTATCGAGGACGCAGAACATGTAGACGTCGTGCAGCAGGATGTGCGCGGGGTTCTGGGGGTTGAAGGCGATGTGGGTGATGGGCGAGTCCCTCTCCAGCCAGGCTTTGTGCAGCCCGCAGTTCTGCACCGTGCGGCTCCAGGCCGTGTACTGCTTCTGGGGGATGCTGAACTCGAAGAGCTGCGGGGCAAGGACAGGGGATGGGGGTGGTGGCCCCGCAGCCACCCACCCGGCATCACCCCCAGCCGGGCTGAGCGCTGTGTGGGGACGGGATCCTGCCGGGGACAGCCCCTACCTGCTGGTCCGCGTAGGCGATGACGAGGTTGTTGGTGGCCGGGTGGATGGCGAGGGCTGTCACCGCACAGCTGTACGTGGGCACCGTGCAGTGGTGCTGAAACGGGAGGGGACAGAGCTGGGGGCACACGGGGACAGTCCCTGCCTCGTGGGACCTCTCCCTCCTGCCCCAGGGGTGCCGTGCACCCAGCGCCTTCCCCTACCTTGAAGTGTTTCAGGCTGTAGACGTGGATTTCCCAGTCCCCGCTGACCGCCGCCAGCCAGTTCCCATCAGCGCTCGATGCCAGCAGGTAAACAGCCTCGGCCGTGCCTGGGGGAACACCACACCCCCCCCCCAAGTGGGCACTGTGACCCCCCCCCAACCTGGGCTCACCCCTCCCCATCAGCACCCCCCAGAGCCCAGCCAGGGCAGGGACGCACAAAACCCGGCGTGGGCAAGGTGCTGAGCCCCAGCCCCGCACCCCCAACACCCCCAGCACCCCCCGGTGCCCGCTGCCCACCTGTGGGGGGGCGCAGCGTGTGCAGGTGCTTGCAGCCCCCCGGCTCCAGCAGCTGCAGGACGTGGACGGAGCCTCGCTCAGAGCCCACAAACAGCCGGCCCGCGTCCGAGGCGCACTGCAGCTGGTACGCCGGGAGCAGCAGCTTGGGCACGCCGGGGACCTGAGGAGGAAGGCGGCACCGGGGGTCACCCCGCGCCCCCCCGGGGGCTCCCCCGGTCCCCCTCCCTCCATCCCGTGCCCACCTTCTTGACGCTGACGCCGTCGCCCTCGTGCTGCACGCGGTAGAGGTGGAAGCGGGAGGCCGTGCAGTAGGCGACCCAGCTGCCGCAGGGCGAGACGCAGCTGCAGTAGATGTGCTCGGGACCCTGGGGGGGGGGGATGTGGAGGTGCTGAGCGGGGCCCGCAGAGCCCCCCCTCCTCCCAGCCCCCTCCCGCAGAGCCCCGGCCCAGCCCTACCTTGCTGTTGAGCTGCAGGAGGTGCTCGGGCATGCGGCAGACGGGGAGGACCTCGCCATCCTTCCCTGGGGTGACAACCAAGCGGGCAGAAAGTCAGCAAATGTGGAAACCAGACAGGTCCCAGGGAGCAGCTGGGGGCCCAGGGGACACCCCAAACCCTTCCCTGGCCTCACCCCAAGCCTGAGCTCCCCAGGAACCATCCAGCCCAGGGGGAAGAGCGTGCTCTCAGCAGCACAGCCATGAGCAGAGCTGCGTGGAGGATGTTCACCACCACCCCGCTGCCCCGGGCGCTGCGGGCTCTGCCCCGGGGTAAAACGCAGAGGTTTGTACCCGACAGCTCACCGGTCTCGTTGGTGGAGCCGAGCCTCCAGAGCTCCAGGTGCTGGGAGAACTGGAAGAGGAGCAGCCGGGCTTTCCTGGCGCAGGAGACGAGGCGGCGCTGCGGGCAGAAACGGGCACGCTGTCAGGAGCCCGCAGCCGGGGAGAAAAGGGCTGGGGGCGAGCCAAAATGCCCCGGGGGAGCAGCGAGGAACGGCTCGGGTGCCGTGGGATGGGAACGCAGAGAGGATGGGAGCCCCAGCGGGACCAGCAGGGCAGGCTCGCCAGCTCCCAGCCCCACCGTGGGAGCCTCCGGGTGCCAGGGCTGGGGAGGGGGCCCCGCAGATCCTGCCCCAGGACCCCGCTCAGCGCCCACTCACGTGGGGGAAGGTGAATTTGCGCAGCACCGCCTCGTAGCCCTTCCTCTGCACCTTCTCCATCAGTGGGCGGATCACCAGCTGGGCATCCAGACCTGGAAGCCAGGCAGGGCGCGGTGAGGAGGCGGCGGGGAGGGGGCTGCCACCCCCCCCCAGCCTGCCTGGGGAGCGCCCCGCGTGCCCTTACCTCCGGAGATGAGGGCTGTGGGGCTGTGCGCCACGGCTCGCACGTCGTGCGTGTGGAACTGGAAGGGTTTCGTGCGCACCCAGCGCTTCTCCTGGCCGCCCGCCTTCACCGGCAGCAGCTGCAGCTGGTAGGTGGCCCCCGTGGAGGTGCCCACCACGATGCTGTCCTCCTGCTGCGAGGAAGAAAAAAGGCTGCAGCTCGAAGGGATCGGCCCCACGGGTGGTGGTGTATGGAGTTGGGGTGAGCCCTACCTCGGAGACGGCCAGCGAGAGGACGGCCGAGGTGCTGACGGTGTGGGACTCCAGCAGCGTGCCCCGCTCCCAGTCCCAGAACTGCACCCTCCCGAACGAGTCCGAGCTCACCACGGTGCCGTCGGACAAGAAGGCGATGCCCCACACCACGCACTCGCGCTTCTTGGGCTTCGGCACGTGGTAGTTCACCATGATCCTCTGCACCGTCCGGCCTGAGGAGCGGGTATAGGAGGGATTAGTGGGGTGGGAAAGGGAACGGCTCATCCTGGGGACCAGGGGTACCCCAAAAAGCGGCGCCCCGTCGGCAGGGCAGCCCCGTTACCTGAGCGGACATCCAGCACGCGGATGAAGTCGATGGAGCCGGCTGCGAGGTGTGTCCCCGAGGGGTGCCAGGAGAGGCACAGCACGCGCCCTACAAAGGACGAAGCTCCAGGAACACCGCAGGACCCCGCAGCCCCTCGGTGAGTGGGGCCAGGGCGGCTGGGAGGGGGGCACAGGGCCACCACGCCGAGCCCCCCGCTCACCTTTCTGCCGGTCCAGGTTCTTCTCAAACTGGACGCCGCCAGGCACCACCTGGAAGAGCTTCACCGAGCCGTCCTCGCAGCCGATCTGTGGGGACCGGGGTCAGCTCCAGGAGGGTGGCAGCGGGGTCCTGGCCCTGTCCCCATCCCGTCCCCATCCCGTCCCGGTCCCCGCACTCACCGCCAGCCGCGTGCCGCCCCCGTTGGCCACCATGCTCCAGATGGGGCCCCCGAAGCCATCGATGGTGCGCGCGGGGCGCAGGCGCTGCAGGTCGTACTCGGTGATGTCCCCGCTGAGCCCGGCCCCAAAAAGCCGCTCCCCGGCCGCCCAGCACAGAGCCTCCACCGAGCGGGCCTGGTGCCCCGGGATGGCCTGCGGGGGGCACGGGGGGGGGCATGCTCAGCACCGGAACGCTCCCCACGGTGCCCGGTTACCCCCAGTGCCCCCAGTGCTCCCAGTCCTGCCGGTACCCGGTTACCACCGCCCCCCCGGTCCCTCATTGCCCCCCCTGGTGCCCAGTTGCCCCCGGTGCCCCCAGTTCCCACTGCCCTGCTCCCCCCAGTGCCCGGTTCCCCCCGGCACCCCGTTTTCTCCCCCGGTACCCCGGTACCCCCCCGGTGCCCCTGGACCCCCGGCGTCCCCCGGTTCCCCCGCTCCCCCCAGCCCAATGTCCCCGTCCCCCCCCAGTCTCCCCGGTGCCCGGTTCCCCCTGGTCCCCCATTTCCCTGCTCCCCTCACACCCCCGCGGTTCCCGGTTCCCCCCGGTGGATTGTTTCTCCCCGGGTCCCCCGGGACCACCGACCACCCCCGGTCCCCCGGTAACCGGTTCCCCCCGTTCCCCCCGGTCCCTCCCGGTCCCAGCTTACCACCGCCCCCCCGGGTCCCCCATTGCCCCCCCCGGTGCCCGGTTCCCCCGGGTACCCCCCGGTCCCCCCGTTACCCCCGGGTACCTCCCGTTACCCCCGGTCCCCCCGTTACCCCCGGTGCCCGGTCCCCGTAGTACCCGGTTATCCCCATTCCCCCCCGTTATCCCCATTCCCCCCGGTGTCCCCGTTCTCCCCCCGCTCCCCCCGTTCCCCACCTTCTCCTGGAAGCAGCCCTCCGCCAGCCCGTACACCTCCACGGCGCCGTCGGTGCGGGCGAGCGCGAGGCGGCGGCGGCGGGGCAGGTAGGCGAGGCAGCGCACCCCGGCGGGCACCAGCCCGAAGAAACGCACCCGGTGCACCTCGAGCGGCCCCATCCCGGCACCGGGCACCGAGCACCGGGACCAGGCCCCGCCCTCGCCGCCACCGGGAGCACGTGCGGGCCGCGCTCCCGGAAGCGGAAGTGCACCGGAAAAAAAAGGGGGGCGGGACCGGAAGCGGAAGTGCGGAGCGGAGCGGCGGGAGATTCGGGGGTGGTGGAGGGACCGGCACCGGGACTGGGGGGGGGGGGGGGGAAACGGGGAGATCCAGGCCGGAACCGCCTCAACGGGGCTGCTGCGGGGAAACGGGGCTGGGGGGAACCGGGGAGAAACGGGGACACCGGAGGGGAACCGGGGGGGCGCAACCGGGCCCGGGAGGGGCACCGGGGCTGGGGGTGAGGGGAACGGGGGCAGCCGGAGGGTCCCGGGGGGGTCCCGAGGGTACCGGGGAGGTCCTGGGGAGGTCCCTGGGGTTTTGGGGAGGTCCCTGGGGGTCTTGGGGGGCACCGGGAGGGGTCCCGGGGATACCGGGGAGGTCCCAGTGAGGTCCCGGGAGGGGTCCCCGGGGTTTTGGGGAGGTCCCGGGGGTCTCGGGGTGGTCCCAGGTGTCCTAGGGTGGTCCCGAGAGGGGTCCCGGGGGCTTTGGGGTGGTCCCCGGGGTCTTTAGGAGGTCCCGGTGAGGTCCTGGGGGTACCGGGGAGGTCCCGGTGAGGTCCCGGGGGGTCCCTGCCGGTCCCATCCCAGCCGTGCCCGCAGTGCCCGTGGCCCCGCAGGCCGTGCCATGGTGCAGCTCATCGTGTCCAGGTGAGCCCTGACCAGTCCCAGCACCGGTTACACCGAGCACCCCAAGCCCGGTGGTGCCCCCCCCTCACCCTCTATCCCCCCCCCCATCTCCCGGTAGCGGGGGCAGCCTGCCCCGCTGGGTGCTGCTGGAGCTGCAGGGCGAGGTGGAGGCGCGGAGCGGCGGCGCGCTGCCTGGGAGCCTGCTGGGAGACCTGCACTACACCCGCCAGGCACGGAGACCCCCCCCGACCCCCCTGCTGCAGGGACACCCCGCCACCGGGCCGCTCACAGCCCTCAGCTCCCGTTTGTACCCCCCCGCAGGGCGTCCCGGTGCTGGTGGTGGGCCACCATGTGCTGTACGGGAAGGTGGTGCCGCTGGAGAAGCCGTTTGCTGTGCTGGTGAAGGAGGCGGCTGGCCCCGCGGAGCCGCACGCCCGCTACGCCGTCACCGCCCTCATCAAGACCAAGCTGCTCTTCAAAACCCGCCCCAAACCCATCATCACCAACGTGCCCCGCAAGGTGTGAGGGCACCGACCCGCTGCCAGCACCACCAGCGTGCCCAAAACACGAGGACAAGGACCTGCTGGCACCACCAACGTGCCCAAAATGTAAGGACAGGGACCTGCTGCCTGTTGCCAGCACCACCAACGTGCCCAAGACACAAGGACACCGACCTGCTGCCACCACAGGCCTGTCCCAGGTCCCCTGTCCTCCCTCGGTGACACCAGGGGAGAGCCAGGACACAAACCCAGAGCCTCTCTGAGGTGAGGAGCACCCGGGGGAGCCCAGCTGCAGGGCCCGTGCCCATGGGGGCAGATGTGGCTCTGCAGCCGTGCTCGTGCTGCTGGGGGGCTTTGGCTCAATCAGCCCGGCTCAGCAGCATCTGCCCCCCCCAAAACGCACCCCTGCAGCTCGCAGGGGGCAGGTCTGCCTCACCCCTGCCCCAGCACCCACTCCCCTCGAGTTTCCCCCCGCCCAGGGGGCACCTTGTGGATTTGGGGCAGGGGGAGAGCGGGGCCGAGACGCCGGCGTTTCTCTGTGCAAGTCTTTATTGTGACAAATCCAGCGGGATATAAAAAACAGACCTCTCAAAATATGAAAAAAACACGGGTTAAAAAATAAATAGATTTACAAACCATCAGCAATAAGTGTAAATACGAAAAGAGCTACAAAAGTCTCCTAAAAAACCTCGTCTTAAATAAAAAACCCAAGTTGCTCGACTGTAGAAAGGTTCTAGCCCTGAAAAAAGAGGGCCCAGGGGAGACGGCCGTGGGTAAGCACCCGGGGGGACCCGGTGGGCAGGGAAGGGCTGGGAACTGCCTCTCCCCGCCCTCCTCTGCGTGCCCAGGCCCAAAACCCAGCGCCTCCTCCCGCTGTCTAGACAGATGCCAGGCTCCCTCCTCGCTTCCAGAGCTGGGGGGCAGAGGAGGGGCTGCGGGGAGGCAGCTGGGACGCGCTCGGCTCTGTAGGGCCGTGGGCTGGCCGGAGCTGCACCACAACCCCGTGTGGGTGCCGCTCCAACCAGCCCACGGCCCCGCTTTGCCTGCTCCTGCCCAAGCTGCGGGCACAAAAGCAGGAGCCAGGGTCCCCCCCGAGCTCTTTGGCACAGCACAACGGGGGCGCCGCCCTCCTGGGGCAGCCGGGCCCCCCAAAAGGGGTCGGGGGGAGCTGTGGGTACGTGCCCGCACATACACAGCCCTGGGGCGAGGACGTGGCCCTCGGGGACATTCGTGAGCCGCCGGAGCTGCGAGGGGATGGAGCAGGGGGGTGCTGAGGCCCCGGGGGGGGGGTGGCCCCAGCTGGCAGCACCAGGGGAAGCGGTGCCAATACTGGTGAAATCCCACTCGTGTCCCTGACCCGCGGCAGGGAGCGGGGCTGAACCTGCAGCCGGCTCCTGCTCGCGCAGGGGCTGCACAGGGATTTTGGGGACGGGTTGGGGGACACCGTGGGACGGAGCATCACAGCTCAGCACCCGGCTGGACGCGTGGGGTCCTCTCTCCATAGCACCGTGGGGACGACCTCAGGGTCCCCGGGGAAAGCACCGAAGGACGGCGGCCCCGGCAGGGTGGGGGGAGCCCAGCCAGCGGAGCTCCCGCAGTGCCCAAACGCTCGGCGTGGCACAGGGGGGGGCCTGGCACTGCCCCTGCAGCACCAAGGCTGTGCCGAGCACAGCTCCAGGCAGCCCCTGGCCGCCAGCACCCACCGGGCTGAGTCTGACAGAAAAAAAATCAAATCAAAAAAGGGAAAAAGAAAAAAAAAAACAAACAAGACTTGATCACAAATGCTGCCTGGGGCTGCCCCCGGGGCCGGGAGGGGACAGTGGCGGTGTCCCCATCCCCTGGCACCCCGCTCACACCTCGGCGAAGGCCAGCCCGCACTGCTCCTGCCGCTTGCCGCAGCGCCGGGCGACGATGGCCAGGTAGAGCGTGAGCAGGGCCACCCAGTAGCAGGCGTAGAGGATGGCTCCCGAGACGAGGAAGGCCACCTCGGTGTCGCTGAGCAGGTCCTGGCTGTAGGCGGTGTAGGCCAGCCCGCCCAGCAGCACGGCCACCCACACCGACACCGGCAGCAGCCCCACGAAGTTGACCACGATGGTGCGGCGCCCCGACGTGCCCCAGCCCGACTTGTTGATGGTGGCGATGGCGAACATCTTGGCGGGCAGCAGGCTGGACATGTAGAGCAGGGAGTAGAGGGACACGAAAATCATCTCGGCGCTGCCCCGCAGGAAGCAGGCGTAGGTGGCCTTGATGATGCCCACCAGCTGCACCGTCAGCAGGAAGAGGAGGATGTTCCAGATGCGGCCGCGGTAGAAGAGCTGGATGACGGTGGCGATGAGGAAGAAGGGGAAGAAGCCGGTGACCACCGACTCGTAGGTCATCCAGAGGTGGTGCTTGTGGAACCAGAGCGCGTTGTAGAGCCACTCGCGGAAGTAGGACTTGCTCCAGCGGGTCTGCTGGTTGAGCCAGCGCAGGTAGCGGGTGGGCGTCTCCGTCAGGCACTTGGAGCGGGCCGTGTACTTGGTCTGGTAGCCCAGGCTGAGCACGCGGTTCGTGAGGTGCCGGTCGTCCCCGAAGCTGCACTTGCTGCCCAGGAAGGTCTGGTGGTACCAGTCCTCCAGGAACTGCTGCAGCAGGGCGTTGCGGTACATGCCCAGGGGCCCGCTGATGCACTGCACGCAGCCGAAGTAGGACTGGCAGGCGCGCTCCACGTTGAAGGCCATCCAGTACCGCACGCTGCTCAGGAAGGAGATCCACGAGTCGTACTTGTTCAGGATCTGGGGAGGGGACGGCATCAGCGCCGGCACCGCCGGGACCGGCACCGGCCTCGCGGTGCCCCCACGCGCCCCGTGCCGCCCCCGTGCCGCCCTCCCTGCCCGCGCTACCTGCACGTCGCCGCCGACGCCGCCGACGCGGGGGTCTGCCTCCAGGATGCGGAGCATCTCGGCGGTGCAGGCGGGGTCCAGCACCGTGTCTGAGTCACACACCTGGGGGCAGAGGCAACGTCGAGCCCCGCTCCTGCCGCCCACGCGCGCCCGGCAGACGGCCCAGCCCCAGCCGGGCAAGCCCGAGCCACGGCCGGCGAGACGAGGCAGGGCCCCGCCGACCGGCAGGCGGTGGCAGGGAGCGGAGCGCCCCGCGGTGCCCGGCCACCGCTGCCCCGGGACACCCAACCCCAAACACCAGCCCCGAGTGATGGCACCGCGGTGGGACCTGCCCTCGCCAACCCCCAAACAGGCCACGGGGGTCCGGAGCCCCACGCAGTGCCGCCCCGTGGCATCCCCCCGGTGATGTCTACCCACGGCACGGGATGCACCGAGGAGGTGGTGCAAGACCCTCGTGGGCAGACCTGCACCCGCAGGGTCCCCACGGCCACCCCACTGCTCACAGCATGCCCACAGCCCCCCGCCCGGCCCCCACGGCCACCTGGATGTAGTCCACGGAGTCTCCGAGCGCCCGGAAGGCCGTGTACATCACCTCGCGCTTCCCGCCCCACTTCTGCAGGATGCAGGAGTAGGTGGTGCCGCGCACCAGCGCCTGGACGCGGGCCAGCCCTTCCCGCAGCCCGGCCTCCGTCTCGCCCTCGCCCCACGCGTGGAAGTTGCTCCTCCAGACGTAGCTGCCCGCCCGCTCGGAGCCCATCACGTCGTGGAAGATGTCCAGCATGTAGGTGTCGTCGGGGCCGTTGCCGTCCACCACCATCACCACTTTGAGGTCGGGGAAGGCGATGCGCTTGACGGAGCGCAGGCACTTCTTCAGGTAGTCGGGATCCTCCTGGTAGGCGGCGATGCAGAGGGCCACCGAGCGCCCCAGCCGCACCGGCCGCCCCTCGCCCCTCATGCGCCGGTGCTCCAGGAAGGCGAAGAGGCTCTGGATGAAGAGGTGCAGCCCCAGGATGGCCCCGTAGAGCCCGAAGGAGAGGTAGTGCTTCTCCGTGTGGATGAACTGGTACCCCGTGACGTAGGCGGCCAGGATGCCCCCCAGCACCGCCAAGGCGAAGAGGCTGGTCCCCACAACTCGCAGGGCCGTGGAGAGGCTCACTGGCATCTGGGAGGGATGGGGGCAGTCAGGGCACGGCCACCACCGGGGGGAACAGGGGAACGCGGGCACACGGGGGGGTTCCCACCCCACATGAGCCCCATCTGTCTGCAGTCTGTGAGGGGGGCGCATCCCAGTGCCCCCAGTGCAGCCCTGCAGGGCCTGGAGGACAGGGAAGGGCACGGGGACAGCGGAGCCCTGGCACCGGGGGGGTCCCCAGGGGAGAAACCCTGCGTGGACACAGCCCCCCGAGCCCCCCGGCCCTCCCACGGCAGGACCCGGCAGCCCCCCCCACGGCGGGGCCGGCAGCACCCGGAGCCCCCCCCCCTTTATCCAGGCTGCGGGACGGGCACCGAGCAGCGGGCAGCGGGCAGCAGGTACCGGAGCTGCGCCCCGGGGCATCGCCGGCGGGAGGGGGGGTACGGGCAGCGCAGGGGGGGGCGCAGGTTTGGGGGGCAGGCTGAAAGGGGGGGCTGCCAGCAGCGCCCCCGGCTCCCCCCGGCCCCGCCGCCCCCGGTGCCGGCTCCGCGGTGCGGGGTGGGGGGGGCGCGGCCGGTCCCGCGGCGCCGCGGGGGAGCCCCGAGCCGGTACCGGCACCGGCGGGGCGGGAGGGAGGGGAGGGGAGGGAGCGGGGCCGGGACTCACCGTGCCGGTGCCGGTGCCGGTGGTGCCGGTGGTGCCGCTCGCCCCGGCCGCCGCCGCTGCCGCTGTGCGCCCGGCCCGGCCCGCGCGGCCGCTTTATACCGCGGCGGGGCCGGCACCGCCCGCAGCCCGCGGGGTCCCCGCCCGGCACCGGCACCGGCACCCCCGGCACCGGCACCCCCGGCACCACCCCCGGCCCCGGCCCCGCCGGTCCCGGCCCCCGCCCCGCCCGCGGGACCCGCCCGGCCCCGCACTGCGGGAGCGCAGCCGGCACCGGGCACCGGGCACCGGGCACCGGGCACCGCGCCGGGCTCCGGGACACCCCGGGGACGCCGCGGTCACCCCCGCGCCACCCGCCGGGGCCACCCCCCTGTCCCCGTGTGCCCCCGCGCCACCGGCCGTGCCCCCCCCCCGTGCCCATCAGCCGCCCACCTGGGGGCACCCGGGGCTCACCTCGTGGCGTCCCCGCGGTCCCCACGCAGGAACGGGGCCGCCCCGGGGACAGGAGCCCCGCGCCCCTCCTGCACGAGGTGTCGGTGCCAGGCTGGTGGGGGGGTCCCTGCCCACCCCGGGGTGCTCCGTGCCCGCTGAGCCCCCCAAGCTGCAGCTGCTGGTGCGGGCTCAGACCCCCCACGCTCAGGTCCCTCACCCAGAGGGGCTTCCCGGGGGTGTCCCCGTGCCCACGGCGGGGCAGGGGCGAGCTGGGACCCTGGCACTGCGTGGTGGGGTGACACCCAGCATGGTCCTGTCCCCAGCGCAGGGGTGCACAGAGGTGCCCCAGGGCTGTGGGTGCCGGGCTGCAGGAGGCAGGGAGGGGACAGGGACAGGGACAGGGACAGGAGGGTTTGTGTCCCCACCCCAGTGCAGGTGCCCAGCAGCGGGGTTACCCCCTGGCCCCGTTACCTTTCAGTGCGATCCCAGCTCCCCGCTGCTCGCCCTGCTCTCTCCGCACGAGCGCTTC